TCACATATATAATATGTTTGTCAAAACATTTCTATAGAAATCAACAACTTCGACTCTCTGACCTTGACCCTGGAGTTTAACCTACCTTTCCAAAACTAATCCTTGGTCTTAACTTTTGAACAGGTGGCGCTAGGACTTTAATATTTCACAACTGTATTTCTTGTGAGAAGGCTTTATACTGTGGGAGCCAAAATATTTAATTTGCATTACAGAAAAGTTTAATCTTTCTACGTTGCCATACGGGGGTATCACGCAGTGTTTCGGAAATACATCTTGATTTTATTACTTTGTTTATTGAAATTAGTTTTCTTTTTCTCAGTATGTAAATAATATTAATAAAGACCAATTATCCAGGAAGTACTGTATTTATGAAACCAACATTGAAAGAAGTATATTAAAATGAAAACAAAATATTAAAAATTTGAATTGTACATCGAAGCAAACTGGAACCATTATCAGAAACTTCACTGATTGAGTTTCCTCCTTACTTTGTGCATATGGCACAGGTAATTTCTCTTCCATGTACGTATGGCGGACATTGAAGCGAATCCCCACAATATGCTTCTACCGGAGAGAAGTATTTACCTCCCTTCGAAACAGGACCCGTCTTGGACTTCTCTGGTTGTTCATCGACGCATGCGTACTCCGTCGCTGACGCATGAGTGAATTTGTCAGCCATTAGATAGCCAGCGTACTCTAGATGCCAGTCTTTAAAACATTTATTCCTGCCTGGAATTCTTAAAACCGAGCTTCGCTTGGTGCTCCGACAAACAGCGCAAGGGACGCCATGTCCTCGAAGTTTGCTGTCAAATGGCGTTCCATTAATGTTTATACTATTTGCGGCATACTCTACACCATGTAAATTCTGATTGTCGTTCTTTATGACGTCATTATACTTGCCCCATAAAGGATCGTAAGGCAAACAGATGTAGTTGACCGAGCCACCCGTATGTGTGTAATAACTACTCCCTGTAAAACCTACATATAACGAAAAGGTTTAGGCATTAAACTTATTCAATTCAGTTCATTTATTGACAACACCATCATACATTGGCATATATAGTCATGAATGCAACAATTAACATACATGAAATAAAATATCAATGAAAGCATATCAGGTTTGTTGAAGGTTTTCTTTCCTAATATCAAAGCACTTTTTCAAAAAGTTACAAACTCTCCGAGCAGTTCTAATACTTGTAGGATTGATAATGTCAATAATAGGGTTTTCCTTCATGTAACATTGTGCATTGAATATATCGTAATATTGTAATCTACATTGATCATAAATAGGACAATAAAGTACAAAATGGTTTTAATTTTCAATAAAAATTTACAAAAATGACATACACGTTTTTCTCTAGGAATAGGTGGCCTTGAGTATCCCCCCATTTCAATATGTAGGGTATGAGCACTAATTCTTAGTTTTGTTAGGATTGTCCTTTCAGATTTCTTCAATGGTAATTCTAGACAGTTTTGTAATTTATATTCATTTAAATCATTATATTACTATAAAAAGTTAATTTCCCAGAATTTGATTTAGAAATGTTCTTTAATTGTTCACTGATCTTGTTTCTATAATGTTCCTCTAATTTATATTTTAAAGTTTTATGTGATATGTCCAATGAGAATAAAGACAATTTCTGTTGTAGAGTATAAAGCTTTCTTTGCCAAGATATTCTAGATCCCAGTGTTTTATCTTCCTTAAATGCAGACACCACTAATTGGTCATTATAATCATTTTCTCTCTCTAAGTTTTTTCAGTCTTAAATAAAATTTATACATATTTTCATAACACAAATAAAATAGTGGGAACTGTCCCAACTCATATAGAACAGCAATATTAGATGATTTTCTATGAACACCTTAAATGTCTTTAAAAATCTGGTGTTGTATTTTTTCAAATGGAAAATGATCTGAGGATAATAAATCACATTTGTAGTCTGCTATCCAGATTTCAGAACCATAAGTTAAGCTTGGAGTATAATCATAGATCTATAAAGTTTAAGCATTGTCTTTACAGAAAAAAATTGTATTAGCTGGAAAATTGGTTTTTATAGCATAATAAGCTTTTCTAGCTCTTTCTGACAGTTGTTCTGCTGAGAATTTCATTTTTCCATCAGATTTAAACACTAGTCCCAAATATTTATGCTGATTTGTTATTTCTATATGGCTATGATTATAGTAAAACCAATACTCATTTTCACAATTTGTGCTTTGAGAAAAAATCATATTTAACAGTATGACATTTAACTCTGGACACGACATAGTCCAGACTTTTTACTACTATTTCTAATTATGATAACCAAAATGTTTTTATATCACTTGGTGGGATTTCTTAGCAGTATTCCAGGGTCTTATGTTATACTCAAGAACATCTCTACTACTCAAGATATGAAGTCCTAAAACTCAGAATCCCATGGGAGAATGGTGGGATTTTCAGTCCCACCAACTATCCCACCATTCTCCCAAGGGAGAAAAAATGTCAGATGGGATATTTTCTCCTAGGGGATTTTTTCTCCCATGAATTTGTTCAAATGGGATAAATCCCACGGATATTGACATTCAATGAATTTCTCCCATACATTGTGAAACATGGAATATATCCCAAACATTATGAAAATGACAAATTTCTCATCATAATATATAGAATATATTCCATGTTTCATAACGTATTGGGAAAATAATTCATTGTCAATATCCGTTGGATTTATCCCGTTTGAACAAATTCATAGGAGAAAAAATCCCCTAGGAGAAAATATCCCATCTGACATTTTTTCTCCCTTGGGAGAATGGTGGGATAGTTGGTGGGACTGAAAATCCCACCATTCTCCCATGGGATTCTGAGTTTTATGACTTCATATCTTTATAAGTGGAGATGTTCTTGAGTCCAACATAAGACCCTGGAATACTGCTAAGAAATCCCACCAAGTGATGTAAAAATGTTTTGGTTATCATAATTAGAAATGGTAGTAAAAAGTCTGGACTATGTCGTGTCCAGAGTTAAATGTCGTACTGTTATTTGTTTTTTCCATGTTCACTCACAATTTCCAATCATGACAATATTTACCTAAAATATCTATACGTTTCTGTAAACCACTAGGTGTCTCAGATACAAGAATAAGATCATCAGCAAAAAACATGTGGTTAATAGGCATTAACTCTAAATATGTTGGATCTGTGGCTGTCGTATTTAAATATTTTACAAAATCATCAATAAAAATATTAAAAAGCGTTGGACTCAGATTATCATCTTGTTTCACTCCTCTCCTCTAAAAAATTCTTCACTCAATTGATTGTCTTTCTTACAGGAGTAATAGGTATTTGTATACGTATTGTACAGGAGTTTCAAAAAATTACCACCAATGCCTTTTTCATTAATCTTATATAAAGTGCAGATCTCCACACAGTGTCAAAGGCTTTGGAAAAGTCTACAAAACAGGCAAATAATTTCTTTTTCTTTTGAAATACATATTTGTTAATTTGTGTTCTTAAAACATAGATATTATCCGTAGTTCTATGGGGTTTTTTTCTAAAACCTGTCTGATATTGGCTAAGAAGATTATTAGATTCAAGATAATAATTTAAGCGTTGTTGTAAAATTCCAGTAAAAAGTTTTCCAAGGCAACTTGTAACACTAAGGCCTCTGTAGTTATTTGTATCATTTGGATCACCATTTTTGTAAAGTGATGTTATAAGTGAAAGGGTCCAATCTTTTGGCATGGTCCCGTTTTTAAGAATTATATTGAACAATTTTCTGAGAACAGGCAAAAGTACATAACTTCCTGCTTTTATTAATTCATTCCAAATCAGGTCTGGACCTGGACTTTTATCTTTTTTTTAATTTCAGTATATTTATTTTAACTTCATTTTGAGTGAACTCATAATCTATGGGATGGGGTTCTAGATTAAAATTTTCTAATTTGTACTTTTCATTTTCTTCAGGTGAATATTCTTTATTTAAACTTATTAATAATTAAACTTATTAATAATCATTGCCTATATGTCAACTCCCTTAAGATCAATGAATACAAAATTTATTAATCTAGTTTTTAAAATATTAGTCTAATCTTGATATCATAGACATCTGCTTCTTCTATTTAAGTCATCAGCAAAATTACTTCGTTAAAAACCTTTCTGATTGTACGCTCTTACAAGGATTCTGGAGTACCTCATTCAACTAATCTTTGGAGACCAAGTGTTCCGATGAGCACTAATTGTGCTCCTTCATTCATTTATCTGACCTGTTTTTGTACGCATATGATGCAGAATTAATTAAAAAAAACTCCTACATTAGAAGTGAAAGACACTTGCTGTAGCCTTCAATTAGATATTTAGACATATGAACGATATTTATCAGTTAATAATTATTTATATTCTATTGTCGGCTTGATATCCAAGTGATATTGGCAGAGTCTGCCAGAATTGTTCCATGTTTGGATGTTTTGCTGAATATACTGTATACAGGGTTATTTTCGCCCTTTCAAACTTAGAAAATATTTTGCCCCGCGTTTAAAATTCGCCCAATATCAATTCCTTTTAAGAAATCATTATACAGTTATTGACAGGGTATGAGGGGCAAAATATGATTTGTTGGACATGAAGGTGAAAATGTTGCCCGAGGCCGCAGTCTATAACTGTTTTGTTATACCCTTCAGTGCTCACTGAAGATTTAATCAATACACACTATATTATCAACTACTTTATATGGAAATTATGGCTTAAAACAAACCGTGTTTCTTACATTCGCCTCGTTTTATTTTCGCCATCCTGAGAGTAGGGTGAATAGGGCGAATATAAAACGGGGGCGAAAATTCTCCTGTATACAGAATACGATAAGGGTCAACTAATGATCAAATTGTATAAAAACTATATATAATTCAGTTTTTCCATCGACAGCATTCTATTTTGTGAAATAAGTTGAATATATTTTCTTTATATCATTTCATTGATGTGAAAAGATTTTGAAAATGCTTCGCAATACCTTTATAAACAAGTTCCGTATCGTTCTGTGGACATTCATATCTTCCCCACCGTGTATAAACTGCACCAGCACTTTTTGTTTCAGCTGTAAGTAAAACAGAATTAATATTTGGAAATTAATACAACCAATACCTTTGATGAGATAATTTACTTTAAAAGGTTCACAATCATAGAAATAAATATTGTAATATTATTGAAAATAATATGTTTTATGCATACATATGTAATTTACCATTTTCTGTGGTTAGAATGTAGTGATTGTAGTATATTTCATGTATATATCAGGTTTCAGAGCTAGGACGTTATGTAATGCATAGTCTCAGGTTTTGGGACTTTGCGTTGATTAGTCGTGAGCTAACGTCGGAGATATCACGTGATTGTTATCGCTGGTGGATGCTGCAAGTGTTTGTACACACCATTTTTTGTAGAAAAAC